CAGACTGGAATAATAATGCTTTCTGTTCCTTCAAGCTACTCTCTGCGCTATACAGTGTTCGGCACGGCTCTGAGCCTTACTGCTCGCCTCTGCTTCACGACACTTTCGCAGATTACTTGCCTTCGTCTCGACTCACCGCAGACTACAAGGCAATCTCCTGGCACTTGCACATTCGTCGGCAACGAGGCTGCACTATCGACCTCCGGTCTGTGCAGGGAGGTGATGTATCGGCGCTGTCGTCGCGCCCCAAGCGAAACACAACGAAGCCTAAAAATCACGCTATCAAAATTCCGAATCATAAACATTATATATAGAATATCTCCGAACTATCACACGGAGTGTTGGCCGCTCCCCGAGCAGAACACCTTGCCCGGCGGGACATCTCCCCTTTACCTTCTACGGCCACAATATCGCCATAGTGGCCACCCTTGACAAGTTGGTTAGCAAACACAGTTCCATAGTGTTTTGTTCTGTTCTCAAGAAAATACTAGCCCCCATATCCTGGCTCCCTCTCTCACATTTGACAAAACTTATGTAATGATAAGGTAGTGTATTATCTATTAATTATGTTCTAAGTCAAATCAAGTTTTGAAGTCAAAAAATACGTTAAAATCTAACCTACATTATTTTCCTCGAGCGATACTTTGGTGTTTGAAATCAGTAAAACTCTCAACCGTTACAGTTATTATTATAGCTTATAAAAATCCACCGTTGAACACCAGCCTCCCCATATTGCCTCAGGGTTGAAATTGTTGCCATAGTAACCATGTTCGGCAGACGAGGTGGCAACCACAGTCTACTCATCTCCTGTTTCAATTTCTCTCTCTCGCTTCTAACGACACCCACGGGATAATATGTGGTAGTAGAATTTTTGTTAAATAAAATAAGACTGACAAGCGAGCACACTGTTCAGATAGTAGGTGGATGCTGTGGCCTATAGACATCTACATCTATCCTCGAATACGAATCAATATACGAATGCGTCGTCACCCTTGAGGACTAAGATGAAATGCCTCGTTTTCAGTAAAAAAGAGTCTCCGATTCACTACACTCACCATTCGAAACACAGCATTATGCTGCTATTTCACGCTGGTATTCTGCGAGAGCGTGGTCCTTCACCGGTCGAGCCGACCCATTCGTGCTACAACTATAATATAGCTACAGCAAGGCTCTACCAAGTATATATTCTAATGCCACTAAACGGTTGAAAGTCTCTCTAAATTCTCAACATAACCTTAATAACACCTCGACCTATTTAAACAAACGAAATTTTGGCAGTTAAACTTTATTATGTTTCCATTTTCCCGACGCACTAATTTCGTCTATAAGCAAATTACTTTTAAGAGCTCTCCGAAATAATGGTACTCCTCTGGGACACGAGAGCGAGATTGTGTCAGATTAAACAATACTTCTTTGTTTTACGCATTAAGTTTGCGAAAACGGTAAATAACGTGCTAACGGTAGGACTCCGAGCACTGGTACGGTCCGCACATTAGTTCCGTTAAATGTCTTAGGATCTGATTATATATTATAAGATCGACAATTTATCTGACATTAAGAGACTACTGAAGATTTAATAATAATGTTAATTTTATTAATTACCTACTTTTACTATCATATTATATTTTTAGACTTTTTCTCTGTATCAACAACAAATTATGATTCATTTCGCCTGCAATAACGGATTTACTATTATTATTATTTACCAAACTGTAGCTAAATTTTGATGCATTGGCCAAATTCTATAAAAAATTAAAGTTAAAGTTACAGTATAACATTTCTGAGAAGGTTTTAGGGCAAGGAATTGTCCGCCGCGCTGCCCCCATGCGTATTGTCGAACTTCACATGTCTTCGAAATATAATTTTTTCTTATTCATCAGACCTGCAGGTTTCATCACGATGTTTTCCTTTACCGTTAAATCAGCACTTAAAATTACAATTAACAATTTCATTAATGCCGGCGGGTATCCAACCCAGGATGCTCGCGTACTGTGTAAATTTACAGCGAGCACTAACCATCTGAGCTACCACAGCCAAATGCTATACCCATCTAAAATTATTTCTTTTTGTAGAAGGGAGGAAAACGAGCATGTCCGTAAATGTCGACTACCGACCTTGAACAACTGCAACACCAGGGCTGTCAACGCACGTATCGTTGAAGGCGTTTTAAAAAGAAGTAAGCTCGTTTCTTGAAGGTGATGTGTTGTGATGTGACGTGTCTTATATTGTGATGGTGAAAGAGTAAGATCCCACCAAAAATAAATGTGAAAAGAGTTCGATATAGTTCAGTAAAAAGGATGTTAGGGTTTATCGGCTCAAAAAAAGAGTTGAGATTTCAACCTTTTGAAAGGTCTAGGAAACAAGCATACACATGTGCCAGTGTAATAGTTCCTGTTAGTGTAATATTTGACAGTGTGCTTTAATGAAAAAATAGCACTATCAGTGGATAGTATCGCGCGAAAACCAAACTGTGAGCCATGTAACTTTAGGTATTCATTGAGGCGAGAGTCGAGCACACTGTTAAATACTTTAGCTATCGCAGTCGCCAGTGAAATAGGTCTGTATTACACTTGTCTCCTACGTCTCCCAACCTGTTCTTATAACAATACGGGCGGTTGCTTAAATGAACAACGTTCCTAAAACCGCTTTGAACTTGGCGACCCCTAACGTCGTTTGTACTGAATTTGACTTCTAATTTACATTTATGTTTTTGGTGGGATGTCATACTGCGTTTCAAAGAGTTTTATCCTTTTATAAGTCTAAATAAAAGGCATGACCTATTTAAAGATTTTTTTCTTGCGTATACACTTTACTTTTTAAAAAAAAAATTAATGCTGGATTTTTAATGTCATTAAATGTCAAAAAGGTTATCGGTGCTATTATTTTCAGCACTTAAGTACTTGCAACACTTAATAATTACTTAATTATGGTACTTGCAACGAACCACACCAATAACTTTGTCGCCACTTTTACGAGACCGATTATCAAATCAAATCTGTTTATTTTGTGAACATAGATTAATTTACAGATTTTGATATTTGCATAATAAAATATAAGGTAGGTTCTCTATGTCTCGCCAGTAGACATAAAAAATATAAAATTATTAACTGCAAAATTCGTTAATTTTTTTCCGTTCCTTTGGTTCTAAAACGTTATAGCTCATGGGTTACATTATTTAAAATATTACGAGAAAAAACTTAAAGGTATAGGTATAATCTACATATTATTATCGGCAATTTTCCCATATTATGATCTGGTATTATTTGGCACATGTCATAATAGATATGTAGTCAATACAGTTCAATAATAAAACATTTAAACATATAAATTCAATGTCATCATTTATCGATTAAGGGATATGTTCCAATATCAAAGTTTTTCATTAAGGCATCTATGGAATAGTATACTATGTCAGCAAGTAGATTAAGAAGTTTACGTTTATGAATGTTATTGTTGTCACAATCTCTTACCCACTCAAGTATTTGTTATATAATTTTGGAGCCATTGATAAATAAAGTTTTGTTAACCCACTTACTCCTGAGCAAACTTTTTTCATAGCATTGAAATAAAATTTCATATGATATGCAATTAGGCTACAAGTAATCTCAAAAAAATGTTTAAAAAAATCTCACTATCCCGGGAAAGCCGGAAAATGGTGTGTCGTAAATGACACAGTAGGAGAATCTACTACTACCAATCATTAGAAAAGGGAGTTATTTTGCAAAGGCAAAAATTTATAATAATGATATCTCACTGTTTCATTTATATAATATAACTTTATTATAATTATTTTTATAAAACAATTAAACTTAAAATTGAACAAAATAACTATAAAACAAAATAACTAGGTTGTATGATAAGCTTCAAAGCATGTTTTTGGGTGTAGTGTAGCATTGCATTTGACACAATAAAAGTTTGCACTTTTGTGACAGAAGACGCATCTCAAACGGTCTTCTCTATACCTTACTAAATGGCCATGGTGGTTGTACTGCAACACCCCAGATAAAGATTGTGATGGCCGTCCACCTTTGTGACCGTCAATCTTCTTATTGTTTTCAATGAGACTTACAGCAATATTTCTGCGAAATTTCAGATGAGCCCAAACTCCTCCATTTTCCTTGTATAATTCCCAAGCATTATGTGTAGCCATATCAAGGCAATGAGTGATAAGTGGGAAATACCATTTCTTACCACGAATACTTGTCCTGTAAAGGCTAATATTTTGATCAGAACGATCAACACCTCCCATATTTTCGTTATATGCCTTCACAACTGCAGGTTGATCCACTTGCACATATTTTTTTTGTTGCTGAGAAAATCTTTTGACTTTGTTGACGGGTAATACTTTTATAGCATTGGAAGCCACGGTAACTACACTATTATCATTCCACTTACAGACGACAATTTCTTCAGCTCTTGTAGATTTGTATTTGTACGTCCCACGGTTAGTTTTTTTGAGTTCATTGTTAGTGGGCAATGGGCATTTTGACACTCTATTCTCTCTTACGGTGCCTGTAGCTTTCAGACCGCGCGTCCGAAGGTCATCTATAAGTGGGATAGATGTAAAAAAAGTTGTCGAAGAACAGATGGAATGGATCTTCTGCATTTATCTTACGAAGCTCATCAGCGTACTGCAATACAACACTGGCACCCAATCCGAGACTTTTGTATTTTGTATCGGTGCATCCTTGTTGTCCTTGATGCGGTTGAAACCATTAAACGTAGCCCAGACGCGTTGCTCCAACCCAGAACTTATAGCCCCATCTAATGGGTTTGCCTCTTATAAACTGTTTACACGGATGCCCACCGTAATATGGGACCAAGATTCATCGATACTATGACACTCTTGTAAAGGAGCATGCTTCAAAAAATTCGAGTTTAGCACATCAAAGAGAGGTTTTAACTTTTTTCGCAAATTTGTCTCTCTCATTGAGTTGCGAGTTGTTGCAACAATGTAAATGGGATACTATAAAATTAAACCTATCCCTTGCCATAGCTGATTAGACAAATGGTACACTGCAGACTGGAGCATTTTCCCAGTACATACTTCGTCTAGGAACAACCACGTATCCACTATACAACAGTATTCCCGAAAAACATTTCATCTCTGTTGCTGTCACGTTACCTTCTTTATTCTTCTTTGTAGCATATAAGTTAGTAAATTCCACAAGAATATTCAAAACCACGTCGTCAAACATGCAATCAAAGTAATCAATGGGATTTTTATCACCATACTGGTCAGGCCGCTGTGGGTTATGCCAATCGCTGTGCGTTAGCTGAATATCTCTTGAACTCCAAGTATATTTAGTATTTTTGAAGTTGATCATAGTTGGAACATTTGTTGAAGTAGAATGTACTGGTACAGCAGGTGAAACCGGATCATATATTTGTCCTTGAAGAAGCGAGGCTTGGGATGTGAAAGCACATGGTGCGTTTGCAAAAAAACAAAAAAAAGGCCCGGACCCACTTCCCCCCAACCCCCCCCCCCCCTTTTCTTTTTTTTTTTTTTTGTTTTTTTTATATTTTTTTTTTTTTTTTTTTTTTTAAATAAAAAAAAAAAAAATAAAAAAAAAAAAATAGTTTAATTTAAAAAATAAATAAAAAAAAATGGGAAAAAGCAACCGACGCCCCCGTACACCCCGCTAGCCCCCCCAACCCCCATTCATTTTCAAAATTTAGACGTCGCCTTTTGTTTACTTCGGCTAATGATAGATCATCATCACTCTCCCAATCATCACAGCTGTTGCCATACTGGAATTCAGCAGCAGCCCTTAGTTGAGATCCTGGCAAGTTTTGAAGTGACACCAAGTCTTCATCTCCAGAGTCTTCATCCGTTACCTCAGCATTACAATTTCCGGTGGCATTATTGTAACAGATTCTGGGATGTCATCATCATCATTTTGCGCCAATTCGTCAATAATCTCATTTAGAGAAAGTTGCTTTCCAAACTTCCTGTAATCAAGACAAGTGACCTCAATAATAGTAGTTCATTTTCCTACTGTGTCTTTTACGGAACATGAAAATGATTTGAAAAAATTACAAATAAAATAACCTAAAATTAGTTCAATTGTTTTTACATTGAGTGACCTACGGGATCAAATATGATATATATGTAAATACATTTGTTTTTTTTTTATAGAATAGGGTGACAAACGAGCACACAGTCCACCTGATGGTAAGTGGTTGCTGCGGCCCATAGACATCTACATCTATGTTCCATTACAAATCAAAATGCAGATACGTTGTCACCCGCGAGAACTGAGATGGAATGCCTCATTTCCAGTAAAAAGGGTCTCCGGTTCTCTACACTCACCATACGAAACACAGCAGCATTAAGCTACTATTTCACGCTGGTATTCTGTGAGAGCGTGGTCCTTCCCCGGTCGAGCCGACCCATTCGTGCTACAACTATACTACTAATATAACTGCAGCATGGCTCTACCACGCAGAAATGATATGCTGTATAAAAAAATATATACTTACCTTGAAGTAGCCATTGCAATATTGAAGCGACGTTAACTTTAAACTAATTTATACAAGTTTTATTTTAAACGTTACGTGACGTTTTTCCCGACACTAGGATTTTCTCCTGTATCGTGGAGGCAGTTTACAAACAAAAATTGCACAAGGACAAATATCTAGACCAGGAACAATTATTTGTAAGCCATACAAATACTTGTTTCGTACGGGATTCGAACCCGCGGCCCCCAGCGTAGCTGCCCATTCATTCAATGCTAAGGAACTGCGGCACGAAGCCGTCATTTTTAGTTAATATTACGTTTCAAGAAAATGCTTGTTTCATAAATATAGCTAAGCCGCTGCGGCACGGAGCCGTCATTTTTAGTTAATATTACGTTTCAAGAAAATGCTTGTTTCATAAATATAGCTAAGCCGCTGCGGCACGGAGCCGTCATTTATATAGTTAATATTACGTTTCACGAAAATGCTTGTTTCATAAATATAGCTAAGCCGCTGCGGCACGGAGCCGTCATTTTTAGTTTATATTACGTTTCAAGTATATGCTTGTTTCATAAATATAGCTAAGCCGCTGCGGCACGGAGCCGTCATTTTTAGTTAATATTACGTTTCACGAAAATGCTTGTTTCATAAATATAGCTAAGCCGCTGCGGCACGGAGCCGTCATTTTTGGTGTCACAAAAATGTTTGTTTCAAAAAAAAAATATAATAAGGGAAATGTGAGAATTTTTAATTTTTGAAAATGTGGCGCACGCAGACATTTTTCCTGCGCAATTAACACATCGCGAATATTGGGTGCATTGTCCCAAAATATAACGCCATATCTCAAGTTTGAGGCGACATAGCCATGGTATGCTGCTGGTAGTGCTGTGTTGTTTGTGTGTTAATTTTTCCCAACATCCCAACATTTTTAGTGATAGACCCACGCTGCAGCTATATTACGGCTCTCACAGAATACCAGCGTGAAATAGCAGCTTAAATGATGCTGTTTCGTATGGTGACAGTAGAGAACCGGTGACCCTTTTTACTAGAAATGAAGCACTCCATCTTAGTCCTCAGGGGTGACAACGCATCTGCATTTTGAATCTTATTTGAGGATAAATAGGCTACTGTATCCACTTACCACGGTGACTGTGTGCTCGTTTATCATTCTATACTGCAAAAAATATATAAAGAATTTATCCAATTGGTGTAATTACATTTTATCGATAATTATACAATTTTAAATAAAACCCCATACAAATAATCAGTATTATTGTTATGTGGAAGTAATGATAATCTTACTATGTTAATTCTAAACCTCTTCAAGCCATGTTAATAATAAACAAAAACAAATTTCTTATTTTTTCTTTTTTGTGCATGAAAGGTAAATGAGACCTAACTATCCACAGTAAACTGAATCTAATTATGAATTTATGCAAGGGGTTAACATCTGTAAAAATTTAATCTATACACGTTTCACTAGCCCCAACAATATGTGTTAGTTCAAAGAATAAATAAACAAGCTTGTAGGATCATAATTATAATTATAATCCACTTAATACTGATAGAAGAAGTTTCTAGGAGATATGCAAGATATTCAAGTCTCCATATAATATCACAACAGACTAGTTCGGTTTACTAAGTTTAAGAGAAACTTCCTCAACAATCTTCTCAAAATATTCTTAAGTAGCACATGGAAGTCTGTAAACACAGATAACTGAGCTGCTCGAGCTTGACACAAGTTATTTTTATAGTTTACTCAATATAGCTCACAATATTCTTACGTTCTTTACGTGTTTTTGGAAAATATTAAGGAGCCACGACATAAGCGTTAAAGAAACATTTCTCTATTAAAGTAACAATCCACCAATTTATAATCGTTTAACAAATTTTCAGTAATACATATGTTACGTTTTAATACTAATTAAAGTTTTTTTGTGTTTAGAAATTTTTATTTTATTTAATTAAAATATTTACAATTACTCGTAATATTTTACACACAATAAAAATAAAAACTAATATAGAAGAACTAAAACTATTCAAACTAATTAAAAACAATCATTTCCAAATTCAAAAAACTCAATTTCCAACTCTTTACCAGGTAAATCTAATATATGAAAATTAATGTTTGTTTGTTCGTATTTTATGCGCTGCTATACCTACCGTTTATCAGATTGCGTTAAAACTTAGTCACCTTATTGCTTACACTTGCGTAAAGGTTATAGGCATGGTGCAATAAACTTACACTAGGTAACGCGCATATTTTAGCGATAATTTTTTTGAAAGTTATATATTATTCAATTTCAATGATTGTATTATCATTCCTAATTAAACATTATAACTCTTCCAAATTTAAAACGATATATCCACAATTATTATTTCCTCTGCAACAGCAATGCGCCAGGTACGAGCGATACGAATAAAATAAAATATTAAATATAATGATTCAGTATGTTATAGGGCTTTAATTTCATAGTAGTTGGCACAGAGGTTTTCTATTAAACTAGGAGTAAAAGCATAAGTGACTATAAATAAATATATTTTATGCTTTTTTCAAAAACGTTACCTCTACAGCGTTTTCTACAGTATCGTAGGGATGTTTTATATACATAAGATGCATAAAGACACACACTTAGATCCGAATCAATCATTTATAGACCGCGCAGGCATTTTTTCCGTGCGGAATTCGAACTCGCTTCCCGACAACGACACAGCCAAACGTAAGCCATTGTGTTACAGAGTCTTGCAATAATATTAAAGCCTGTTAAACGTCCAATGATGAACATAGGCCTTCTCCATAAATTGCCAAATCTATCTCTACCACGCTTGGGAACCGTAGTTTTTATTTTCTTGGTGTTGCTGGGAAGATGCTGCCGCCAATCTCCTGGTTACTTTCAGTTTGTGGCTATTCTGACACCGCCCCTACACAGTTTACTGTATAATCTATTTTTATGTTTATTATACAATCTACATAAAAACCATTCTATTCAGAGATATTGGAGACCACGCTGTGGCGCGATAGTCAATGTTTTTAACAGAATTAATAAAAAACATCTTTTTTAAATAATAATTATTCGTATAATCCATTTTTAGGGGTGAAATTATGTTCAAAATTATATTTGTAATGATGAAGATGATATATTTTCATTGCTGTGCCTGTTAATGACCGTTTTATTTCTCAACGACTGACCCGATTAGGGTCATATTCAATAAACGAGTTTGTTTTGTCGATGGTTCACAGTTATACTATGATTCGATAGATGGCGCTGTAATCAAATTACTAACAAATCCTACATTTACGGACACAAATAAGTTGTGAATACAATTTGTGAATACAAATTGTGAATACAATAGAAGTAATGATTTCTTATATTTACGCGAACACTATACATTGATTAAAACTATTAATTATAGGATCCCAAGCAGGTGGTAGTACCCAGCCTCCTTCTCTATTAGAGAAGGAGGCTGGGTCTCTATTAGAGAAGGAGGCTGGGTACTACCACCTGCTTGGGATCCTATAATTAATAAAATTAAAACTAAACCCAAGCATACCACTGCAAGACTTCAAAATACAGTTAGTTCATTCTGCGTAGATCGGACCAAAGACAATAATTAAAAAGCTGAAGGTACTCCGGGTTAACTTTGACATCGGGACATCAGTCACCTCAGTCCCCCGTGACCATGGGTGCTGGAAAGCACCCGAAACGTCGGGTATTAAAATTAAAATTAATATAAATAAAACGCGATAAAATCCGTAAAAGTAGTTTTAATCAATACAATAGAAGTGCAAAAAAAGAAAACCACAAAACTAGAACTCAGTGGTAGAGTTATTAATAACTTTAACAGTCACACTGTAAAACATTTACAG